GTATCATATATATATGTATATTATATATATACGCTATATATATATAATATATATATTATATACTATATATAATATATAATACTGTGTGTGTGTGTGTGTGCTGGTGTGGTGTGTGTGTGTGTGTGTATGTGTGTGAATATTAGTATATATATATAATATATATATATAACTTATAATTATATATATATATATATATATATATATAATAATATATATGTATATATATATATATATATTTATATATATATATAATATATTATCATACACACATATAATATATATATACATGTGTGTATGTTTGTGTGTCTATATATATATATATATATATATATATATATATATATATATATATATATATATTATATATATATATATATATAATATATATATACATACACACACATATATATCACACACACACACATATATACATGTGTGTATGTTTGTGTGTTTATATATATATATATATATATATATATATATATATATATATATATATATATATATATATATATATATATATATATATATATATATATATATATACATATATACACACACACACACACACACACACACACCACACACACACACACACACCACACACACACATATATATAATATATATATATATATATATATATATATATATATATATATATATATATATATATAAATACGTGTTTATGTGTGCGTAAAGGCCGTAAAACAGAAGAAAAAGGAAAATAATCTGACCTTTTCGTGACAGGAGTATGGAATTTATTCCTAATTCTTGACGACAGCCATACGTAGAACAGAATAATCAGCGGTTTTTGCAATGAATTCGTCAAGCGAACCGTTTTCTTGTGCTGAGTGGTAGTCTGAGTCAGATCAGAGACAGCAGGGTCTTTGGTGTGACTGTGACTGTTACTGATTTTGAAACTGTATATAAAATTCACATGGAAAAAAAAGGTATATACACTTTTTTCATTAAACCTATATGACTAGAAATAAAAAACTAGCACTGAATATCATAATCAAGGATGCTTTCATAAATTAAATAGCTTACTCGAATCTCTTGATTAAATGTGTCAAAAGTTTTATATATAAAAAAGCAAAAGCCGTCTCAGTGTGCCGCGTCTTATGGTAATACGAAAAAGCCTTTGAACTTGATGCCAGCTTTTTTACTTTTTTATGGCCAGGAACGAAAAATTAAGATCAGATTAACTTTCCACGTCCTTCCCTGTTGCTTCGTGATGGCCTTCCCTTCTTTTCATTTGTTTTCGTTCATCAAGGGTAATGAGGTCATTCGCAGTGCGTGAAGTTTTCGCAGTTATTGTTATTGGTGCGATATTGATATTGTTACTGTAACTAAACTTAATATTTCTGTATATCATTACTTTATCGTGATTCTATATTTGTTTTTAGTTTCTGATTACTATAGTTACCGTCATTATTTTATCAAATTCTACATTAAGATTATGATAATTATTATCAGGATTTTCATTATTCTTAGCAGGTAGTGCCCTTGTCATTTCATTGCTTAGTGGTTAATTTGACGTTACACACAGGTTTGGTACTGGTATCATTATTACTTTTGATACTATAATCATTATTTTTATGTTATATATCTATATTCGTGTTCGTGCAATCATCATGTCAGCGCCATTGATTACTAGTAATTAGGTGAAAAACAATAATGGCAAAAGACAGTACTCGTAATATGTGTGGGCAAAGCATTGATCGGTGCCCATTTCCAATTTAAAGTTTCAGATCTTTTCCTACAGCCTTTCGCAATAAAAAATCTTTGTCCATCATCGGTTTTTGCCCACCAAGTGGAAACTTGTTTATGTACACGATAAGCCTTAAAACAGCAGCAACAGTAACGGCAACAGAGCAATAGTTTGATTATGAAAAGCGCTGTGCAAAAGGTGATAGTGTTCGAAATAAGTATGAGGGTAATACTGAAAACAATGATATTTGGGAAACCAAATCACGTCACATATGCGTTTTTTCCGAACATGGAAAAACAAAAACAAGAAAAAAACTTTCCTTTCTCACAACAGTGATTCATGGTCGATTTTCCCTGGCAAGTCTGTAGGTTACTGAGCTTCAGTTTGTTGGCGCCAAGTGAGAGAGGCATTAACTCATTGCGTTTCTCATGAGGGCGACTCTGATGGACTGCTTTTATTGAAGAAGATAAATGTTTATGGATCAAACAGAATCAGATCGCTTAGAAAATGTCGTAGAAGGGTTATCATTTATAGATCTAGAGATGATTTGACATGCAGTATAAACGCACAAACAATGCACACAAGCACACTCGATCATTCCCATTGCATTCGCCGTTTTATGGTACACTTATTACACATTGAGTCTTTCTTCTAGACTTCATGATATCATATCTCACTTTGCAAATCAAAATTCCTTTAAATTCGAATACGAGGCTAGATATAATCTGAGAAATTGACAGGTTTGACGATCAAGAAAATCAAGGCAAATGGTTTCGGATTCTAAATCC